CTTTAATAAACTGGAAAATCGTGTCTATACTGCATTTAATTTTTATACAGAGGTACATGTCTGTAATGGACGACAGAAATTTCCACTCTCAGTCCTACCATTATTCAGTCCTAGCGTATCTTAACCGTTGAAATCGAGGGAGAAAGGAAAAGTCAGGCATAGAAGATAATGGACACATTTTTCTCTTACATTGAGGATACTGACACGAATAAAAGATATTAGGAGAGCCTGTTTTCAAGATAGACTCAAGAATTAGGGCGATAAAATAGGAGTAGCCGTCTTTGTATGATCTTTGAATACGCTACCTTTCATATTTGAATAAATGAATGAGAATGGTCTTGCTTTAAGGTGCCGCTAGTAATCATAAATGCCTTATGCAATACAAGAAGGTGCATATCGTCTTTGCTCTCTTTTATACCTGATTTGACTTATCAAAATTCGAGATTTTGATTCTATTTTTTCGATCGTTTGGTACAACATACGTTTCTTTTTTTACCATTGTTTGAAGGTAAAGGTCATTGTTTTTTTGTGGGTTTAAATGCTTTTTTGTAAAACTTTTACCTCGATATGATATAAAGTATTTATTGTAATATAGTAGAGTTTAGTAACTCACAGCATTTTGAGCCAGTAAGAGAGCTGGGAAATATATTTGTCACCTTTCTTTACCACAATGTTGAACTATGTTTTACTTAGATAGTTTGGGATCATAGACGGAATTTTTTCTCAGACAAGACACCAAATCTAAGTAGTTCCTCGTGTATAGGCTCAGTTAACAGAAGAACATCATGTTCACTTCCTCCTTTATGTCTTGTGACACCAAACCGGTGTAACTGTACATTTCGAACTTGCACATCCACAGTTAGAAAGATTTCATTTTATAGACTTCAGTTCTCTTCCAGCTGTATTTCCTTATAAACCTGATTCTAAGTGACAGAACGACAAACAAACAACATAATTTAGAACGACAACATAATTCCATTTTTAAAAGTGGAAAAATCTTTCAACAGGTTACAAATCTCTCATCAATACTCCAAAATCGTTCGTTTTTATTAGTCGTTGGTTACTCAGATAAATGTAACACATCATCATTTGTATTTTTATCTTTCACTGTATTGTCATCATCATCATCATCATCATCAGTGGAATCCGACTCTGACGAACTTAAGTCTGACGAACTCGATTTCGATAGTCGATCAACTTCAACGACTCCATCTTCATTATCATGATTATTTCCCGCATCAGTATTATTGGGCTATCTTGAGAACAATACAGGCAGCAGATGTTTGTAACTCAATTAGTACTATGTATTTACTTGTTATTGAGAATGTTCATATTTAGATACCTCAAAGCCGGACTATTTTGTTGTACATCAAGGTAATCAACAGATGTCGTTTGCTGTGTAGAACATTTTGTTGCCTGTGCGAGACTAGATGGTAAAGGCGAAGATCATGAGTTTAAAATTGAAAGATTCGTTAATGATGATGCTGGTTGCGCGACAGAGACTGATAGTGATGGAGGTGATGAATATAAAACTGGAATGTTCGTTGGCTGTTTCGACGAAATAACAACCGGCTTTGAGGTATCTAAATATGAACATTCTCAATAACAAGTAAATACATAGTACTAATTGAGTTACAAACATCTGCTGCCTGTATTGTTCTCAAGATAGCCCAATAATACTGATGCGGGAAATAATCATGATAATGAAGATGGAGTCGTTGAAGTTGATCGACTATCGAAATCGAGTTCGTCAGACTTAAGTTCGTCAGAGTCGGATTCCACTGATGATGATGATGATGATGATGACAATACAGTGAAAGATAAAAATACAAATGATGATGTGTTACATTTATCTGAGTAACCAACGACTAATAAAAACGAACGATTTTGGAGTATTGATGAGAGATTTGTAACCTGTTGAAAGATTTTTCCACTTTTAAAAATGGAATTATGTTGTCGTTCTAAATTATGTTGTTTGTTTGTCGTTCTGTCACTTAGAATCAGGTTTATAAGGAAATACAGCTGGAAGAGAACTGAAGTCTATAAAATGAAATCTTTCTAACTGTGGATGTGCAAGTTCGAAATGTACAGTTACACCGGTTTGGTGTCACAAGACATAAAGGAGGAAGTGAACATGATGTTCTTCTGTTAACTGAGCCTATACACGAGGAACTACTTAGATTTGGTGTCTTGTCTGAGAAAAAATTCCGTCTATGATCCCAAACTATCTAAGTAAAACATAGTTCAACATTGTGGTAAAGAAAGGTGACAAATATATTTCCCAGCTCTCTTACTGGCTCAAAATGCTGTGAGTTACTAAACTCTACTATATTACAATAAATACTTTATATCATATCGAGGTAAAAGTTTTACAAAAAAGCATTTAAACCCACAAAAAAACAATGACCTTTACCTTCAAACAATGGTAAAAAAAGAAACGTATGTTGTACCAAACGATCGAAAAAATAGAATCAAAATCTCGAATTTTGATAAGTCAAATCAGGTATAAAAGAGAGCAAAGACGATATGCACCTTCTTGTATTGCATAAGGCATTTATGATTACTAGCGGCACCTTAAAGCAAGACCATTCTCATTCATTTATTCAAATATGAAAGGTAGCGTATTCAAAGATCATACAAAGACGGCTACTCCTATTTTATCGCCCTAATTCTTGAGTCTATCTTGAAAACAGGCTCTCCTAATATCTTTTATTCGTGTCAGTATCCTCAATGTAAGAGAAAAATGTGTCCATTATCTTCTATGCCTGACTTTTCCTTTCTCCCTCGATTTCAACGGTTAAGATACGCTAGGACTGAATAATGGTAGGACTGAGAGTGGAAATTTCTGTCGTCCATTACAGACATGTACCTCTGTATAAAAATTAAATGCAGTATAGACACGATTTTCCAGTTTATTAAAG